CTTCCAAGTGAAACTAGTTTTCTGACTTACTCTCACACTGTCTTCATCCTCTTCCCAGAAGTTTTATGTCAAACTTTTGTATACAAATCGTTTTGTTCATCAATTATTTGCTCTTTTATCATTAGTGCTAAGCTGAATCTGAATATGTATAATAAAGTCAAAAATAAATTCCACTGTAAGTTTCCATTAGCTGCACCTTAAATAAATATCAGGAAGGCAATGAACAGACAAATGGAGAATAATACTTCCCGTAATATTAGTAGTTTTGTGGGCAATTCATTTACATCTTTTTTCGCTGTTTTACACTCAGTTAACTCAAATAGATCACCTAGATTGTTTTTAAACATTCTCCTTCGAGGGAAAAAATTAGAAAATTATTTTAGCCCGAGAAAATAGTGGCCAGAGATAGAAGAGCGAAAAAGAAAATCGATATATCTTTGCTCAGAATTTTGTGACATGATCTTCTATGGGTTTTCTGGAAAACTCCAGTTTCCGTCTAGTCACATTATGACCTCTCGAAAAAATGATCCGATCGAGTCAAAATTTTTACCACGGATACTCCAGACTCTATCTCAGAATGAAAATGTTTTTTTCGAAAAATATGCTTTCCTTCTCGAGATATACGAAAAATGTTGAAACCCACACAAAAAAGCCTGAAAAAAACTGTCTTTTCTTTGTGGTTTTCAGCATTTTTTGTATATCTCGAGAAGGAAAGCATATTTTTCAAAAACAACATTTTCATTCTGAGATAGGATCTGGCGTATTCGTGGTAAAAATTTTGACTCGATCGGACCGTTTTTTCGAGAGGTTATAATGTGACTCTGGATGGAAACTGGAGTTTCCAATCTTTTCAGTTCTTTTCTGAACATGGAACCTGTAAGTACATAAACAAAAAATCCTAGGGAAAGGGATTTACAAATATTTATTTGAAAATCTTGACACAACAAAATTACTCACCAAATACATGTTCGATGATGTATGTCTTCGGCGAAAAATATAAGAATAGAAAACTGGTAGATGAAATTTTCTGTAATAGCTGCAATTGATGCTTATGTATATTTAAGGTTACTAATGTATATAATCGCGATATTGATGACTGGATGGTACATAGTATGTACAATCATACATACCACTGATGAAAGGCCTTGTGCTAGGTATCATTCATATATGTCAATCTTTTCTTTTCCGTTTTTTGTAAATCCAAGTATATGCGAATTTAAATTCATGAGAAGCCGAGATTCTAACTCAGAGCAAGCGTTACACGAGTTCCAGTCGTAGTCGTGCAATTGTGATGAACGAAATTTAGGCAAACGAAAATCTCATATTCTGTTGCCTTTCTAGTAGAGAAGACGATTTCAGTTACCCTCGATCATCCCAACTACCTCCTTTTTGTTCAATGCTGGTTACGTCGATCCTGCCTCAGTAGAACTAATGAAGACTCTACAATATACTTATCACCGACATTGACATGAACATTTGTGCTGCTACCCAGGGTCTATCCCGATACACGGGTACTACGTTTCATTCGGTCAGTACGCAAGAATATATTCCCTCTAGCTGTTCCAGGCGTATATTCCTTGCTTCCATCTTCTCCACAGAGTGGACATATTGCCCTTCCGTTCCATACCGGCATGCGCTCTATTCCTGCTCCCAAATGATGTCGTTGTTTTTGCTCTTCTGATTTTGAGGTATTGGTAGGGAATAAAGTTTGGCGTATTTCGCCCTGTCGCCCAAAGGTGTCTACTGCAAATGCGCGTAGCTGAATCATGAACTCTTTTCTTTTGCTGATATAAATACATATGATTTTTGAATAATCCATGCAAATGATTCATTTTGTCGTGATCATTTTTGTATTAAAAACTAACAGGTGAGGCAAAAGTTCTACATTAATTTTGTTTTTGATATAGCGTTGCGATGGAATATTGTAGAGACTTTATCCTTTTTTTTATTAGAAAGAGCAAAGTGTCTGATAGAAAAATATATAAAAGTGTTTGATCGGAAATGTTTCCCGAAGACCAAAAAACCTTAGAATAAAAGGCATCGAAAAACTGTTCCGTAATTTCGGTTAAAATTTTTGTATCCAAATATGTTTCTTTTTCATTACCCACTTTCGATGTTTTCGAGAACCGTATATATGAAGTTGTTCATTACAACGCAGGCTTTCGTATGATATTAGAAAAGTTAGCCTTGAGTTCAAGAGACTGAACAGAAGACCGTTTGATTAAAAACTCAGTTTGACGTTTACAACGCGAAAACAAGCTTTTGTCCTAATATCTCACAGAGCAGCTGTGGTCGGTCTATTCCGAATAATATCGTTTGATAGACGATTCAATAAGCTTTCTTTGTCATGTAAAGTATATAGTTTCTGGCAACTTCGCTCTAGGAGTAGAATTTTTTTCTTCAACTGCGATTGACAGTGATGAAAAATCGGTGGTCGACCGCTAAAAACACACGAAGAAAATTTATTTTTTGTGTAGCAATAGTGTCCTATCCTTACATTATAAAACTGGGAATAAAAAGAATAAAAAGATAACCTTTCTAATTACGTGGAGTTTTTTCTAAATTCGAAAAGGTTACGGAACAGTTTTCCGATGCCTTTTTTTCTAAGACTTTTGGGGCCTTCGGGAAACATTTCCGATCAAACACTTTTATATATTTTTCTACAATAAGACACTGTGTTCTTTCTAACAAAAAAAGGATAAAGTCTCTATAATATTCCATCGCAACGCTATATCAAAAACACTTTTGTCTCACCCGTCAGAGGCACTTCTACTTAAAGCAGTCGTCTACGTGTTCAAACGAATCAAATGTTCAAATTCAGCATTATATGCTCATAATGTCAAATAATTTCATAACATCGTTCAAATAGCAGAACGAAAATAATTCTGTTATTTAGAAACGCATAGTCAAATCGTCAACAAACTTTAATATGTTCTTTATAAAACTGATGAGTATTTATTTTCATATTCTTCGTTATTAACGAGGGAACGTTTTTAAGTGTCCCCTCGCTTTTTCAACGAAACCTAGTGGGTTACAAGTTATCGATGATGCTGATTCAGGATATGAATATGAGAGCTGCTCTTAGGGCTTCAAAGATCCGGTTTTCTGGAAAACCAGTTTTTCAGAAACTCTAAAAAACAACTAAAACTTTTCTTAATGAACCATGTTTGTAGCCCATACATTTCTGATTAAAATGAGGCCACTCCCAACTCCACATGATCTTTCTTTGCAAAGTTATAGAATTTACAAGAAAAGCCCTACATTAATTTCTTTTTATTGCTGTAGCTGTAGCTTTGGGACTCAAAGCTATAGAAAAGCCCTAAATATTCTATAACTTTGCAAAGAATGGTCATGTAGAGTTGGGAGAGATCTCATTTTAATCAGAAATGTATGGGCTACAAACATGGTTCATTAAGAAAAGTTTTAGTTGTTTTTTCAGAGTTTCTGAAAAACTGGTTTTCCAGAAAACCGGATCTTCCAAGCCCTAAGAGCAGCTCTCATATTCATATCCTGAATCAGCACCATCGATAACCTATAACCCACTAGGTTTCGTTGAAAAAGCGAGGGGACACTTAAAAACATTCCCTCGTTAGTGGATAGTTGCAAAAATAAATGTAGTAAATAAAGGATTAGCAGAGGAAATAATGTTCGAAGCTGAAAATGTTAATCGTATGTTATGGATTTTAACCTTTTGTGCCATGGTTTGCTAGTAATAAATTCATATAAAGCCCTGGTTTAAAATGGATTATGGTACTTTCGTCATTATGAAGAACGCACTTTGGTCATACATGACGAAAGTTCCTTGAGTGGAGGTACTCCTCCGAAACTGTCGTCACCAAAGCGTGAATTTTCGTCACAGCCACAAAAAGCACTCCGAAAACGTATATATGCGCCACTATTTACTCTGTCAGTACTTGTTAAGGAAGTACTGCAGTGTAGTAAATACTAAGTGCAGCTCTTACTGATGGAGTGTTCCCGATCACATAATAATCTCACAGCACTTGATTCTATTCTGTATTTATTATAGCGGTATTTACGTGTCATGAAAATTAAGCAGGAACCGTTAAAAACAAGGGTATTTTCGTCACACTCGACGAAACTTTCGTCAGCAAAGTGTGAATTTTCGTCACAGCCCCAAAAACCACTCTGAAATTCACGGGAACTTACGTCACCATGCTTTTTCTGAAAAACACACTTTCGTCACACGTGACGAAAGTACACGCCCCCCTATGACGAAAGTGCTTTGTGACGAAAACGCCTTTTACCTTTAAAATTGTTTGGTTCTCACATCGGTGTCCAGTTTCGAATGAATTAACCGTTCTCTCTTGTTAGTTCTACTGTTCAAATGTCTTTTCTGAAACTCCTTCAGTATCTCCAAAGGAGAAGGAGTTGCAGTTTTATACTCAAAAACCCCTATTTTGGCCTTTTTTTTAACCCCTTCCCTCAGGTATATTCATCTTAACCTGGCGGTATATTCCTCTCTACAGGGTAGTGTATTCATCTTAAAAGACAGCTGCAATTTTCGTTGCTCTTCTACGTTAGTGTATACTATTCCCAATATCATCTCTCGGCTAATATAAAGGAGTTTCACCATTTTAGCTCCACAAGCGCTGCCCTGACAAGGTTTTCAAGTGCACTTAAATAAGCCTTGAATATCTTGACTAAAATTACACAAGCAGGAGCATTTCTTTAGTTAGTACATAGGTTTCAGGACAATTGTCAATGTGTATCAATAAGTAAAACGGACGAATATCCTATAGAGAGATTCTGTTGCTCATTCAAAGAGAGAAATAATCCAGTATAAATTTATCAAAAAAACAAAATTCTACAATGTTTTCATAAACATATAACACAAAAGTAAACACAACTCTTTGTCCATTTATCTTAATCGTTTTCCGTACATCGGATCGGTAATTTTTCTATTCCATACTGTTAACGGCTTTGTGTAGTCGACAATATCGGTTACAAAGTATCCATATTTTTCACAATGACATTCTGGTGTCGCCGATGTTTGCTCATCATTCGAAAGTATTCTTCGAAGTATATCGCTTTCACGACTCAATGCATTTTTCATTTCATATACTTTTTGTGAACCACTAATAAAGTTAATAAAGACATAGCTGAAACAAAAGAAAAAAATGAAGAGGAATTTTTATTCATACACATACACTTACTGTCCTTCTCGATACGTAAGCATATTTTTACCAAAAAGACGATGGGGCAAACGTCTTAGGCCAAGATTTTCAAATGATTTGATAATCCCTCCATTTTCTAGAATACAATTAGCAGCTGCTTTAATACTTGATACAAGTTCTGGCTGAAATAAATTGTATATTCATTATTATCGATGTAACGTAAGAAAAATATTTGCATACTTTAGGCAGATTTTTAAAAACACATAACATCTGATAATTCGGCATTTGTCTGGAAACGAAATTTGAATAAACATTTCAATTTTAAGTTCTAATACATTTTTGAAGCAGAACGCGATACTATGAAAGAAAGTTTGGAGGAAAAATGCGCCTCGACTGGGAATCGAACACAGGATCCTCAAGTTATAGAGGATCCGGAGTTCGATTCGTGTAGTGGGGAGGTCATTATAATAAATCAAATAAAACTACTCGAAACTACTGTGAACCACTACTCGATTTGAATTTTGAAAATGGACTTTGTTTAAACTGTATAAATCTGTTTTACAACCGCTTTTAGCTACTCAACTAATTAATTCTATTCTCTGAACACATTGGGACGAACGGGTGTCCTCCGCCTCTGAAGATCGTGTCATCAGAATTGTTACTCTATAGATTTTCAACTTAATTTGAGAGAAAAGTTATTGAAAAATAGTCTTTGAAAACTGAGCGTGTAATCTAATAAGAACAAGCCCTAGTATCTAAGACTAGAACTATCTTGTATTTAAAAAGCAGTTCTTCGATAAATTAGTTTTGTCCACTATAGTAATAGTTTAGCTGCATGATGGAATCCTCTTTGAACTACATCAATTAATGAAATAAATTAGTGTAGTTAGATATGGTTTTGTTGTTTTATTTCTGTTTTCGTTGAACTTGCAATTTATTCGTGAGATTCTTCCATTATACGATTCGTTTAAAATAGACCAATCTAATCTTGTTTAAATTTTTCTATAAACTGATTCATTATTGTTGACTGTGAGCAATGGCTGCTTTGCTTGGATGCAGTCGGTTTATTTTTGTTGTTCTTTAGTGCGCTTGTATAGTTTTAGCCTTTTGAGGCCAATTTTATATAAACTATTACGAGAGCGTTGAACCATAACTTTGCTATTTTTCTATTGTTGTGTGGTTCCGGCGTCATGTGTTCTTGTCAAATTGAAGAGAAAAGGAGAGATGTACTGAATTTCACTTTGAAAAGGTCGAGTGATATCTACAGCAGATTAGGCGTAGGTGTCTCCTTTTTCGCACATTCTCTGCTTCATTAGTTTTGTCGGAAAGCGGATCAACGTCAATCGTTGAGATATTGAAATATATGTCTCAAAAAACTTTCTGTTCTTTTCAAATTTAGATAATATCTTATTTAAACTTGTTCCAGTTGCTATGGAAGTATTTGATTATAAATATTTGAGCGATAAGCAGCTGAAAGGATTGAATAGCTATAAAGTATGTTTCATATAAATTTAGAACTTTTTCTTACTAATTTCTATCATTGCTTTTTTAGTACAGTTGCATAGATACATCACCAGTATCTAATTATGTTATGCAACCATTTTGGAATCGATGTGTCGAAGTAAGCAACTATTTGACCCATTCATAGAAAACTGTTAAAATTTTTTTGTTTAGTATTTTCCAATATGGTTTGCTCCAAACTTGATGACATTACTTGGTTTTCTACTATTAGTTGTTAATTTTTTGCTGTTCTCAATATATGATTATCATTTTTACGATGCATCATCAATTCCAAGATGGTTATGGCTTGTGGCTGCAATTTGTCAATTTGGATCCCATCAACTTGGTAAAGAAGTGTAAGCCTCTTTAGTGGCTTCTTCATTGCTTTTCAATTTTATACGGTTTTCTAATTGTATTTGGTTTTAAATTTATTTGCAGATGGTATGGATGGCAAACAAGCTCGTCGGGCTAAAGCAAGTAGCGCCCTCGGCGAATTGTTTGATCATGGTGTAGATAGTTGGGCAACATTCTTATTTCCTGTGTGTATTTTTTCCGTGTTATCTCGAGGTGAATATGGATTTAGTGTACTTACCATGCATTTTCTATTATGGACAGTTTATACATCATTTATCGATTCACATTGGGAAAAATATAATACGAAAGTTTTATATTTACCCTGGTCATATGACATATCAATGCTGGTTAGTAGATTATATGATTTTCAGAATAGAAGACTAACCCTGTATGGCCGACCTGTTTGCTAAACGCCATAAGTGCGCTACGTTCTTCAAACTTTTTGTGATATAGTGGGACGACAAAAGCTTATACACAGTTTGCAGACGTCTCCTTTTAAAGAGCAAACATTTTTCTTTAAATTACTTATTAGGCAAATTCCGATAGTTTATTGACCTACAGATGTAAGATCATTAAAATAGAGGCTGGATTATTCAATTTGAAGATTGTATACGGGCAAAAGAGAAATTGTTAAGATTTGTTTTCTGATAAATTGAAAGGAAAATATTTACTCTTTAAAACCAGATCTCTCTTAGTCCTGTAGATACTTTCTATGTAATTCGCTGCAATCTTGGCAAAAAGTAGCATATTTATGAAAAACTTAACCACCAGTCGGACAGGCCGTGAACTCTATTCCCATCATCTTACGAAGATAATAATAAAATTAGGCTATGATCAATGTTTTATTTTCATTTATTATAGGTAATGACATTGACATATCTTGTGGCATTTTTCTTTTCGCCATCAATATTTTGTTGGCGTGTACCAATCATTAATGTTGCATTTGCTCATGTTGCTCAAGTTATTTGGCCATGTAAGAAGACAATATTTATCTACAAATCTACTTCTAATATTCATTATTTCATCACAGGTTTTGCATTGGGAACATCACTTCCGATTTCAGTAATAAACATTCGAAAGTATGTTGATAGTTAGTGAGACATGGTTGTGTGTATTTATTCACTTCTTTTTTTTATTAAAATAGGGCGTATAAAAATCGCACCGGAAATAATCGTACACCATACGAAGCCATTCGTCCACTTATCGCACCTAGTGTATTATTTATCTCATCCACATGGTGGGCATTGAGTTCACCTAATATGATATTACAAAAACAGCCACGTGTATTTTTTTCAGCTATCGGTGCAACATTTTCAAACATAGCTGTGAGTTCATCCTATAACGTAAACTTTCAATTCTTATTCTATTTAATATTTACTTTTTAGTGTCGCTTAGTTGTTGCACAAATGACATCAACACGTGCTGAAGGATTTAATTCATTTTTATACATTTATGTTCCTATACAATGTTTAGTTGTATTTGGTAAATTAACAAAAACTGTTGAATTTACACTTTTATATGTGTATAATATTTATGCTATTATTTTTCATATTCATTATGCTGTTTGTGTGGTATGTTAAATTATACAATCATTCTAACATCTATTAAACATCATATTTTTCTTTTTGTTCACATTTAGGTTAGACAAATTTGTGAACATTTACAAATTTACTGTTTCAATATAACAGCAAGACGTCCTCCTCCAGCACAAATTGTTATTCAACATTAAAGTATCTATAAAAACATTTAACAAAATTTGTCGTTCCCATCTCACTTCACTATTATCATATTTTCTTAACTTGTGTATGTTTACATTTTTCCCATTCTGTCTTTGTATTTTGCTAATTGTTTTGAAATACGTTAACGATGTAAAACTAAATCTCTTGGTGTAGAAAAAATATGAAAAAAATACAACAAATTCTTCTCTCTTTTTTTTCTCTTATCTAGACTGAGATGACTGTTTTTTTTCTTTTGTTTTTGTCCGTCTATTGCTTTTGTTTAACTGTAATCGTGCGTGCTTATATACGTTATTTTTATTTTATACAATGTTTGTTTGTTTATTCTTCCAATTTTTTTTTGTTTGGAGTTCAATAAACACAACAGCTGTATTACGTTTTCAAAATCTGTTTGTGAGATTATTCACTTGAATACCTTACATAAGATACTGGGAAAAAATGAAACAATTGAGACTAATAATTTTAACCTTTTAGAGTTCTATATGATCTAAATCCAATTTTGTGAACTTTCTATTTGTTGTTTTAAATTTTTTTAATTTTTCACCAACAAAAAATTATTTAACATTTTCAGTATTTTATTTCTCTTGTTTTGACTATTTACCAAATGAAATGATAATTTTGTCTGCCACACGCAGTTGTTATAAACTTTTGATTTAGTAAAGAAAAAAAAAAGGATTATAATAAAGAATAAAGTCACAGGTTTTGAAGCTACATTATATTACCCCTGTGTGTTTTCCATTTAAAAGAAGAAGAAGAAGAAGAAGAGAGAGAGGGAACGAGAAAGACTAATCAGTAGAGTACAGTAACATGGACAAGAGAGTCATGAGAACACAACATTTAAACATTTATAAGTACAAGACAGTGGTAGAATAAATAATAGCCTCATACACTGAGAGATGCACCTGTCCAGTTTGTAATGGATAGTAGGTGTGCAACAGTTTATTCAAATTATTTTATTTCCACAATGAAGTTAGTCACAGCGTCGTAAACAATTCTTTATTTAATGTTATCAAGATTAGATCGTAATAACATGAATCGCAAAAAATGTTTAGGATCCTCCTTAACCATACCTTGGCAGTTTTCACACAGGTAATCGTCAACAAGTTTGTGCTTCTTAAGATGTGAACGAAGAGTGGAAAAATCCACCCTCATCCGGCTTTAATTCGCCTACTAGCCGTATTTGGTAACCTAGTCCTAATCCTAAGTTTTTTTTCAAATTTTCGCGAAATATCAGTGGCAATTTTAACAGCTATGTGGCACATCACTGAGCTATTTTTTCCAAATCTCTGTTAGTAGTTTTTGTGGCCTCTTCGATTGAAAAAGCTTTAAAACGACTTCTAACCGCTCCTCTAGGTCAAACGAGAAAGGGATGAGGATCCAGAACGGAGCCTTGAGTCACACCGCAATTGATGTCAGCTAAACCAGAAACAAAACCATCTACAATCGTTCTAATCTTTCGATCTTTTAAGTAATCCTCAATCCATGTAACAATCTGCTCACATACCCCCTTCTATCGAAGTTTATAAACTAATCCTCTATGACTCACTGAATCAAAAGCACGAGAAAACTCGCTCTTACAAATTTTGACTCTTCTATGCTCTAATTAATGTAGTGAAGCAAGGTCGTCAGCTGGTTCACACACGAAGCTCTCTGGACAAATTCAGACTAATGAATAGAGATCAGATTGTGAAAAAAAGATACTAAATGACCCGCTTCATTATTTTTCCAATGACAGCTTACAACTTAATAGATCTATAATAAAATGCGGTGCTCCTTTTTTATAAATAGGGACGACAGATCCTATCTTTAAAGAGCTAGAAAAAACAGAATGCTTTATACTGGCGTTTATAATTTCGGATAAAATAGGTGAGAGGACCTCAGCTAATGCTTTGGCCATTCTCGATGTAAAATCTTCCGCAACCACTTTGCTAGAATTTAAATTACTCATGACTTTAAAAACATCTTTAACAGTAACAGCGACGAGTCTTACTATTCGTAAAACTGGTCGTTTAACTAAAAAACGTCAACTCCAAATCATCCACTTCAAACTTTGAGAGACGTTTTACATTTATATCAGACCTTGCATAAAAGGTACATTCTCCTCCATGTCTATTTCCATCTTTACGAAAAGGTGTTTGATAGTTTGTGGGTAAAAGACGTTTGTCCTCGATTGTAGATAGCCAAGACTCAACTAAACCTGCAATTCCCGGATTTGATGATAAAACATAAGGTCGCAAAGCATCTAGCTTTGAAAATGGTGTGAAACAGACAGATCATTCTGATTGTTACTGTCAATCGCAATTGCAAGAAGACTTCGAACGTTGTAAATCGAGATTGAAATAGAACTTTGCACTTCTAGACTTTGTTTTTTAGGTGATATCATAACACGAAAGATGGAAAAGTAAGAAAGATGCTTTTTTGTTAAAGTTTATTTTGATCTTTGCACATGTTAAAGTCTCAGCAGTAAAATAAGAATGGAGAAAACAAAAGTAGGAGTAGTGAAGAAAGAAAGTCAAACAGAAATACAGTTTTTACAATGTCCTCACATGAGAACCTGTCCCTCTGTCAGTAGGAAAGATAATTATTTTATGTACATACAAAATCGAATCTCAATATCGAACGAGCGTACTGGCAAACATTGTGATTGAAACACGTCTGATCTTCGTTTATATACACGTTTTGATAGGAAACAGTTGATTACAAAATTTTGCAACTTTTCAGAACTAGGCACGCACCAATTCTAGAACTGGTTGTTTGGTGCATCTCCGAAAATAATGGTATCTCTCAAATCATTTGTTACCAATTTTTATCCACAATGTAGGATTGTACCGTCAACTTTTCTCTACAAAACAGCCTATTTTGTGGCAGCATTAGATTAAACATTATACACTATTTTTTAAAAGTTTTTAAAAAGAATTCGTGGGGAATCGGTCGGAATTGGTTAACATTTTTCTTGTTTTCGCCTTCTCAAATGCAGATACAAACTTCATTATACCTCATTTTGTAGAGAAAAACCTGCTGAATAATCTGATGTATTCAAAAAACATATAAAACAAATAATCTTAGAACTAGTAAATTTTTTCAATAATCTTCAAAAAAGAATTAGTACATGTCTATTCAGAACATTTTCACGGGTTTCATAGCGAAGGAAATGAGCGATCAACGGACGGTTTCTCTTGAGTAATTTCTTTTCAGGCCGACGTGAAGCTCAAATATTCGCGCGTTCAACTGTCACCTCGATCTTCTCAGCCAAGCCCATTACAGTTGCATCCGTAGCTTCTGCTTGACTCTGTAGATAGAGATTGCACATATCTGACCGTAATACTCAAGATCATTGCAGCTCTACGGAAGTATAGCACTTGTAACTTGTTCTAGGAGAACAGACAAATTTACTTCTAGTTCTTCAATTCGTTTTTCATAGACCGAGACTGTTGAATGAACAATGTGCTCAATCAGACCTTGCATCTGTTGACTATGTAAGACATTTTGAACGATATTTGCAATTAACGAATCTCGAAAAATCACAGCTTTCACACTACTCCGAAGATGAAATCATCGGACGTAGCAACACTTTTTAACGAGAAAGTTTTCAGCGAGAAATTTCTTGTGTAAATCACAGTATAAAAGCATTCTGTATTATCGTACGAGAAGGGTTTACTGATACCAGCAAAGGACCACGTTATATTAAACTAAGAATAAAGATTTCTATTATTAAATATATATGATGGATGGACGACTGACATTACAGAAAAGAATATTTTATTTCAGTCATTGTTGCTATTTGTTTAATTTAGTGGTAACAGAAAGAATATTTGTTAAAATTAGATTATTATTGACACATAAACAGCATGAGTAAAATATTGGTGAATTGCTAAATCAATCCTATAAAAAGAGAAAAAAAGTATATCAGTTTATATCTAAAGAAGTATATTGAAACGGTTACAAATATGGTTGACAGAGGAGATGCAATGAGTTTACTTAGCTAAATTATTGCTTACTTCATCTCGTTTGTCGGTGTCTCGTTTGCTGTTTAAAAAGTAGCGTTTTGATTGGAGGAAATATCGTTTATTCAAATGAACGGCGTCAAAATCGTCGTCCAGCTCACTATTTGAATTGTGTGGCGAAAATTGTACATCACGTGTCGGTAAAAAACGACGTTTTGCAATATATTTCATTAGACTATCGGTTATTTTTTGATTAGAATGCTAAAAAGTGAAAAAGATCAACCACAGGCTACCAGAGGTGTCAACTCTAGAAAATTCAATGTGGAACAGTTTCTTTAAAATAATGAACATACATGCAACTTCCTGTTCTATCATGAGAGATATACAAAAACTATTAATGACTTTCCACATCCGAATGGGCAAACATGAAAAAATGGGATTTTTTTCTGCCATTTTTCTTCTATTTAATAAGTCAAAGCTTTCAAACAAATAGCACTACCATTGAGATATGAAAGTTACTAGACTTTTAAGCTTAGAAAATTAACCCTCAGAAGGTCGAGAATTGAAACAATGTACAAGTAAAGTAGTTTAGTTCTTTCTGTTTCTTGATCTTCTTTGGTGGTAAGGTTAAAAAATCTGCTATATGACATCTTTATTATTTGAATATTGAGTCTGAAGTGTTTTTGTGGTGTCGAATAAAAGAACTTTTTACGTGAAGGAAACAAGAAGAAAAACCTTTTGTCTGTTAGTACGAAAATTTAGATTTCTTTTTCCAATTTAGTGTTCTTCTCTCTGAGAGTGTATTTTCTATGCAAATTTATACATTTTTATACCGACCATTTTCATCGCAACCTTCTCCGCCACTTGATAAAAGGTCAAATATCTTTTTCTATAGGTAAAAAAGACAAAATTATCAAATAAGACTCACTCAGAGCGATGAACTACTGTTCTTTTCAAATTACGGTGCCGGTGACCGTTTTTCAAATAGCTCGAGAACGAAAAGAGATAGAAACTTCCAGTTAAAAATGACACAGATTCTGAAACTAGAC